TGAGAGTACATCATAGATATATAGAGTGAGCCCTTTAACAATAAACAATGTTTCATTATTGACAGTAATAAAAAAAGATGTTAGAAGATGTTTTTAAGAGACATGAGGCATCAATAAAAGATGAGCAGGAGCCATTGTACTTATAGCAAAATTATCATTTTTTTCTTTCTAAAATCAGCATAGTTACTGGATCCCAAATGGAGCACATTGTGTTTCCGATTCTGTTTATTTGGCAATCTTGTTCAATTATAGAGGCTAAAGACATTTAACAGCAAAATAGGTCCCCGATCAGCACTGAAGTGTGATACTGTTTAAAGGAACTTAGGAAAAACTACTGTTAATCATTTAAGAGTGGTAAATTCCTACGTCTAAAACTGGGTTCTAGTGCTTACCCTTTGGATGAATTGAATGGGAATTTGCAACATTAGTAAGAAACCTCAGTAACTTCAATCATGAGGTTAAAGAGGGTCTGAGATGCAATCTCCAGAAAAGAAAAACAGCAACTGTGTGTGTTTATCCCTAAAGATAATAAATAAGTAGCAAAAAATTATAATGGTATACAATGTAATGGGCTATTTGATACTGAAACTGTCAATTATCCCCTAATTTATCAATGGACTCAATACAACTATAGAATTTCAATTTTCTTGTGTGTATCTGTGTATGTATCTGTGAGATTCAAAGCTGAGTATAAAATTTTAAGGAAGAGTATAATGTAAAAAGCAATTCACTCCCAAAGAAAAGCAAGAAAATAGCTTTCTTAATGAACTATATTAGCTATCAATTAATTGTTATAAACACATATACATAAGTTATTATGGTATTAGTCCAGAGATTTTTACTCCCAGAACAGAATTGAGAACCCAGAGAGAGAACACACAAATATTGAAACTTAATTATAATAGAGTCAACATTTCAGATCAATAGAGGGAAAGACAAACTTTTCAATAAATGTTGCTGAGGACAGGTTATATAAATGTATAAAAACTAAATATATTTTGGACCCCTACCTCACATCATATAAAATGATGACCAGGTGGATTTAACACCTAAATGTAAAAGGTAAAATTGTCAAGCTTTCAAAGATAATATAGGACATCAATATGAACTGTCCTTAAAAAATAATCTCTATATTTGACTACATCAAAATTAAGAAACATTCATTGAACCATACATAATGAAATTGTTAAAAAATAGCCTACAAAATGTGTACTAAGATATTTTCACATATGCAACCACCAAAGGACATCATATAAAGTAAGTAAAGAGCACTGTGTGTTCAATAGAGAAGAGGAAAAAAAATTTGAAATATAAATGAATAGGAATTTTGCTAAACAGGAAGAACAAATGGCTGATAAACATAAGAAAAATAGATCAACCACATTAAAAATTAGTAAAGTGAATTTTAAGTGACAAGGAGAGATTATTTCATCCCACCAAATTGGGAGGAAAAGACAATATCAATTACGAACAAGGATGTAGAGCAACGAGAATTTTATTTGTTATTCATCAGAGTGAAATTGATATATCAACTTTGGAAACAGTTTGTCATGACCTAGTAAAGTTGAAATGTGCATTTCCTAGACACACAAATTATTCAATATGTACTCTAGGAAAATACTGTCGCTATCCCAGAACCGTGCCCAAGGATACTTATAGCATCACTGTACAGGACAAGGAAAACCTGGGAACTACCCAATGTCCGCAAGAGGAGAATGTCATAGGAAAGTAAACAGCAGTGAAAATGAACAGACTAGCATCACACACACTGACATGGATGAATCTTAAAAAGTGGGCAAAGGACTTGAACAGAAACTTTTCTAAAGAAGATAGAAGAATAGCCAACAAACATATGAAAAAATGCTCATCATCTCTAATCATCAGGGAAATGCAAATCAAAACCACAATGAGATATCACTTAACTCCAGTGAGAATGTCCTTTATCAAAAAGTCTCCAAATAACAAATGCTGGCATGGATGCGGAGAGAGAGGAACACTCCTACACTGCTGGTGGGACTGCAAACTAGTTCAACCTCTGTGGAAAGCAATATGGAGATACCTTAAAGCAATGCAAGTGAATCTACCATTTGATCCAGCAATCCCATTGCTGGGCATCTACCCAAAAGATCCAGTGACACTCTACAAAAAAGACACCTGCACTCGAATGTTTATAGCAGCACAATTCATAATTGCAAGGCTGTGGAAACAGCCCAAGTGCCCATCAATCCAAGAATGGATTAATAAAATGTGGTATATGTATACCATGGGGTACTATTCAGCTCTAAGAAACAATGGTGATATAGCACATCTTATATTTTCCTGGTTAGAGCTGGAACCCATACTACTAAGTGAAGTATCCCAAGAATGGAAAAACAAGCACCACATATACTCACCAGCAAACTGGTATTAACTGAGCAGCACCTAAGTGGACACATAGGTACTACAGTAATAGGGTATTGGGCAGGGGGGAGGGGGGCGGGTATATACATACATAATGAGTGAGATGTGCACCATGTGGGGGATGGTCATGCTGGAAACTCAGACTTGTGGGGGGGGGGGAAATGGGCATTTATTGAAACCTTAAAATCTGTACCCCCATGATATGCCAAAATAAAAAAAAATAGTTTTGAGTGAAAGAAGATGAGATTAAATTCTAGGTAATGTTCAAACACAGGCAAAACGTAACGGCATTTGTTTAAGGATAAATACACAAGTGGTAAAAACTAGAGAGAAAAGTAAGAGAGTAAACACAAAATTCAAGTCTTTGAATTGGCCCAACAGCACAGATGATCCTTTCTTTTGGCCCAGACATGGAGAACACAGGTGTTTGTTTTATTTTGACTCTACCTGCATGTGTGTGTGTGTACACACACATTTACGTTTCCATACACTTTTATCTATGATATTTATTTCACAATATAAAAATAATACATTCTAGTCTATTGTGTGTATCATATATTTTCCAGTGAATCATATAACATTCTATCATTTAAAAGCTTTTGGATTACATAAAGAATTTGAACTTAAATTTAGCATATTACCAATTTCTTTCATAGATCATCAATTTTCTCTTGGTCCAAGTGAGGATGAAAATATAAAATGCCTGTTATCCAGGAGGTGGAAATAATGGTATGAATCACAAGTATGTGTGAGGTACTGGATTTTGTACTCGTAACTCACTGGTACAAGCAAAGTGTAGGCCCAGCAGTGCGTGTGAAAGTAATTAGATGGATTGACAATTACAGTTGTCATGAGATGAATTTTTGATATGTCCAAATCATTCGCCAGTTACTTTACATATGTTATCTTTAATTCCTATAGAAATTCCACATAGAATATTAGAAACCTAAGTTGATTTGCCACACACAGAGCTCATATAGGGAAAAGCCAGGATTTGAACCTAGGTGTGTCTCCCTCCTGTTGTGTCTTTGCCATTACTCGATATTGTCCAAACACTACTATCCAGTGTCACACAGAGGAATATAATGGGGTATGATAAGACCTGGCTCTGAATCTAGCACTGCAAACTATTAGCTATTTGACCCTGAGTAAAAGTTAATAAATTCTTAGGGCCTCATTTTATAAAAATTAATGATGATAATACCTATCTGTTAGAGTTGTTCTGAGGTTTAAATAAAATACATATGCAAAGCGCCTTGTACAAAACATCCATCCAATAAACATTTGATTCATTAAAATTAAGTTGTGGCAGCTTTAGTTGGAAAGATTAGGTGAACATCTCCAACAAACCGCAGCATCATGGAGCTGATCAAGCCACTAGAGGGAAAAGATAACAGGACCAGAAAAGTGAGAACGCTGCTAAGAAACTCACTTCTGGGACCATCCATGGGGTCATGGCCAAGGTGGAAACATGACAGATCCTGGGAGAAGTTGAAACTCTCAAAACGGGAACATCTTTGGGGACAAGCTGCTTTAATGAAGTTGGGGGAGGGGAGCTTTATTTGGAGAAAAGGTATGAGAGGAAGAAAATGAAAGAAGTCTATAACAAGGTCAGCCACACCTGACACAAGCTAAGAACACTTCTCAGCCGGGGACAGTTTCATGACTATTTGAATGTTCTCACCCTAGTCATCCTACGGGGATGAGCTAAGAGGAAGGCTGACTAGGGGACCTCGCAGTGTGGCCGGGCACAGTTCTGCTGCTGATTTGACCTGGAACGCAGTGTCTCCGTGCCACTCAGCTGTCTGTACCCATCAGTAGCTGGTCTATTTCTGTGGTGTCCTCATCATGAAAAAACAGAGCTCCTTTGGCCAAATGAGAGAACACGGCTTCCTGTCATTTTTGATTTGCTTTCACTGCATCTCCAGTTAGATAACCTTCAGAATCCTTGTTTCCAAAAACCTAATTTTTCAGTCCTTCTAGAAGGGCTTATTCTTTCCTATTACTTTGCCCTGTGGCTCTGGGCCGGGACTAGAATTCTGTGAGTGTGTACAGACCCCATTGATTTCATCGAAGTGCCTGTTTGTTTATCCGAGAGTTCCAACCTCAGGTCCCCAGCTGCTGTGACCCACTGACTTGCTGTGGCCCCTGCCCTCCCCCCCCCCAACCAATGTCTAGAAATTATGGCGGAAATCAGATACTTTTCCTTGTTGGTCAGATACACGTCAGCCCTAATGAGTGAATCTTGCTCAAGATATATATCCACCAGGTCAGGCCTCATCGATAAATCCCAAGGTAACCCCAGAAATTATTAAAAAGCAGTTTGGAAATCTAAAATAGCATAGGTTCCTAGAATTTTAATGACCTCTACTGCAGCTGATATTGGTAGGGCTATTCGTTATTTTTTAATTTTTTAATTTTTTTTTTTTTTGCTGTCTGAAATTTAAAATCGTTTTTGTTCTGTCCCGTTTGAGCCCCAACATCCCCACGAGACACACTTTACTGTGTGCGGAAGAAACACTCATTAGAGATCCTTTAAGTGACAAATGAGACGCTGCAGTGAGTTAAAGCAGTACTTTGGCTTACACTGAACTCCATACCTGAGCGCATAGCCTCTTTCTGAATGCTCTCATAGTCATGCCAGTCCTTTCTTCTCAAACCATCTGTCCATGAATAGAATTGCCCATCTCCCAGGCCCAGTGGAAATGTCTGTGGAAAAGGAAAGTATTCAAGCATAAAAAGGAGGTAGTTCCTTCCGCATGGTAGGTAAACAGCCAGGCACATAATGGGCAGTCAAAGAATATTTGTTGAATAAGTGATTCCTCAGATAGTGAAAAGAAAGCCACTGCTTGTGACCAGATTATGGCATATTTTAAATCCTTTTCTTAACCTTTAAAATGAAAGCATGCCTCTCACGTAGCCCCTACCATTCTCCGTTTTATCCAGAGACATTCATAATTCAGTATTTTACCTCTGAGCATAAACACCTAGCTATTTTTAATCACCCAAAGTATAAATGTTGGTAACGCTACCAATTCTGGTGTTAAGTTGAATTAATTTTTTTATGATTAGTGCAGTTTCATTCTAATCAAGCATATTTGAATGGCTTTGGAATGATAGCACTCATTCATTGAATGCTCAGTATGTGCCAGCCCCTATGTCAAATATTCTCTGTATAGAAGTTTGTTTAATCTTTATAACCATCATGGGTTATAAATCCCCATTTTTCTGTCAAGTAAACTGAGGCCCAGAGAACTACAATTGCTTGAATTAAACCACAGTTGACAAAGCCAGGATTTGGATCAGTTCTGTTAAGACCAAAATTGTGGACTGAACAGCTATTAAACACTGTCTCCCATCTAGAATTCTGCTGAAGTGCAGAGCGTGTTGATACTTGTAGTTGGAATAACCACCCACTCATCAACTGCAGTCACAACATGTGCTTCATGCTTTTCCAAAACCCAATATGTTGCAACGTCAACTTGAGAATTATTTCAGCAGAAGCTACTCCCTTTTCTTAAGGCATTTATTTCTGGTAATAAGAAAGAAAAAAATGTTTTCAGTAAAATTTATCCTCACAATGTTAATAGTTAAGATAATGTACAATAAATGTTTTCACATTCACAGACTACTTTTCTTTTATGAAGTAATACATCTATGGAATAAAGAAAGAATTCTAAAAGGTGGAAAAATTCAATTTAAGCAAAAGATGGATAATTTCAGTGAGGTAATTTTATCCTGAGAGCCATTCCAAGGCACATAAAATGTCTTTTTTCTTAGTTTTAGACAATGCAGCCATGATGCTTATGAAAAGTGATCTCCCTTGAGCCCATCTTTATAGCTTATAAAAGGTCCACTTGTTTTGGAATGATAAGAATGGGGAATAATATTTTTAAAAACCAAGGTTGTTAGAATCAGATGAAAGATTGTCCAAATCAAGTGAATATAATCTATATATGTCAAGGAATTTGTTGCTCAGAGTAGTGATGAGCTCAGGAGAAAAGAACAGAGGAACAAATATATAAATATAAAATGTTAGGAGTAATGAGGGCAAATTTTAAAGGGAAGATAAAGGAAAATTATGAACAAAACAAAACAAAGTAAAATAGAAAAAAATAATATAGAACAAACATTAAAAAATGCAAATTTTTTTCTAATTGATGTTTATCTTATCCATAGAAATTTTAGTACTCGGTTATGCATAGAAAGTTTCAAATAATCAAATAAATTTAAAATATACAACTTATGTTTCATCTCAGCCATACATATACAGATAAGTACTGAGCACCAATAAAAATCTCCTCCACTGATATAATTATGATTTACAAACATGACTTCCAGATTAAAACATAATTTCAACACAAATTTCAACATGAAACATATAGTCTTGTGTAAACTCTATTATGCAAGCTCTCTCTGGTTGCCAGGTGCACTCCATTTCTCTTATTTTGATATATCTAAGGCAGAAAATTCTTAGTAACTTGTAATAAAAGCAAATTATATGCAAAAGTTAATCTTTACTCTTTCCAGAAACCAAATGAAAACGACAATAAAGCATCACATGCATCGAGAAAGCAGTTAGTTGAATTGACAAAAAGTTTTTGTGAATGACTGAGAACTACTGGAAAGGAAGCATGTTTTTCTATGCCACTGAATTTTTAAAAGACTTAAGAATTGGAGGCATCAGGCATTTCTGATGGTGAGGTGAAAAGAAAAAGATTTGTTGACATGTTTTATAAGTGGCAGTCAGACTCCTCTGGAGTCTCTCTCCGAGTCTATAAATGAGACCATTTCTGACAGCCTTCCACTGCCTTCCCACCCATAGTAGACTGGAGTCTGAATGAGAGAAGTATCCCTGTGGGCCATGAGAAACCGTTGAATACAAGGATTCCGAGGTGCAGTGAAAATCAGGGTCCACGTTAGTCCGCACACCGGACGTCGTTAACGAAGCTATAGTTGCACTAGACTTTCAGAAAGCTGCCAGTCCAAGGCTACACCCTCAGACAAGAAACATAGGAATTCCTCTCTGGAGAATTGGAATCAATAAGCAGAGATGCAAGGAGTGGCTCCAAGGTCCACACCAGTAACCACACAAAACATCTCCGTGTAAGCAAGCGCCTTTCTGTACAGAGAACTTTCCGTCAGTGTTTTCACTACTTCACTCTTTAAGTACGAACAGGCAGCCAAGGATCGCCAGGTATTTCACAGGACTCTTAATATAAAATTCAGAGGCCAAAATAAGCAAAAGGCGTAACGAACTTGAAGGGAACAGAGGCGGATGTAAAGCACAGATGAAAACCTTAAAAAAATGTAAATTTAATTTCTTTAAAGAGCTTTAAGGAAAGCTCCTTCACAGAAACAGAAATTTACAAAGAAAGGGACAGTTAGAGAATAAAAAAAGAGCTCTTGAAAAGTAAAAATGTGATTGCAGGAAAATAATAACTAAGAGACAGCTGGGAAAATGAATGTCAAAGGAACCCTAAGAAATAGAAAAACAGAAAACGAGAGAGAGATGAAAAGATGCAACATTGAAGGGAGGTGGGGACATGGGGGCAAGTCGGGAGACCCCGCTGCTGACTGTGCAAGGCCGTGGGAACAGCTCCAGGAAACATGTCTCTGTGGAAAAAAAAATGTTTAAAAAAACATGGAAGAAACTTTTCAAAAGAAGACAAATGGCCGACAAACATGAAAAATTGTTCAACATCGCTAATCATCGGGGAAATGCAAATCAAAATAACAATGAGACACAACTCCAGTGAGAATAGCTTTTATCAAAAAGTCCCCAAACAACAAATGCTGGTGTGGATGCAGAGAGATAGGAACACTCAGACGCTGCTGGTGAGACTGCAAATTCAATTGAAAGTGATATAGAGATACCTCAAAGAACTAAAAGCAGAACTACCATTTGATCCAGCAATCCCACTACTGGGTATCTACCCAAAGGAAAAAAGGACATTCTATAGTAAAGACGTCTGCACCTGAATGTTTATAGCAGCACAATTCACAATTGCAAAGATGTGAAAACAACCCAAGTGCCCATCAATACCTGAGTGGATGAATAAAATGTGGTATATGTATACCATGGAGTACACTCAGCCACAAAAAACTGTGATGATCTAGCACCTCTTATATTATCCTGGATGGAGCTGGAGCCCATTCTTCTAAGTGAAGTATCACAAAAATAGAAAAACAAGCACCACATGTACCCACCATTAAATTGGTACTAATTGATCAACACTAATGTGCACATACAGGAAGTCACTTTCATAGGGTGTTGGGAAAGTGGGAGGGGGAGGACGGAATGGGTAAATTTGCACCTAAAGGATGTGTGTACTGTCTGGGGGATGGGCCCACTTGTAGTTCTGACTCAGGCAGTGCAAAGGCAATATGTATAACCAAAGTGTTTGTATCCCTGTAATACTCTGAAATAAAAGAGAGAAAGAGGGGGAGAAATACTGAAATTCCCAATCCTCATTAAAAAATGTGTTTTCTCCCAAAAAAAAAAAAAAAAGCAAATAGACAACTTCTTTCCTATTATTTAAAAAAAACCTATTGAATGAGACTTACAGTTCTTCCAAAGAGATTAGGATGAATTAATGATACATATATAAAAAACTAAGCAAATAAAAAGAGAGTCAATCGATAAAGCTGCAAGGAGAAAAAAACAGTAGAAAAGAAAGGAATAATTATAGCACACTGTTTAATTCAGGTGTGAATAATCCAACCTGAATACCGGCTTAACTAAATGCTCTGCTATAACTATGCTAGAGGTTTAGGGAAAGAGTGGAATTAGACAGTTAAATAGACACATGAGAGGAAAGCAGTAGATAAATGCAAAATCAGAAAAAAAAATCAGGGAACAATAATATCTATGTTATCTACGAGTATGGAGTCATAGAACAGAACAAAAATAAGAGACTGACACAGTCACCTCTGGACATCAGAAATTGCAAGTAGGGGAAGGAGGCCAGGGGGTTGCTGGATACCATTATAGGCTTCATAGTATGATTGCATTTTAAACATTATTTGCAAGTATTTACATAAACATCTCGAAACTTCTTAGGCATTTTTAGCAGGTATGTTCCGGCAAGGTGTGTTAGCATCGCAAGAACCCTCTATGATGGTAGAGGAGTCAGGTTAAAGCAGAACGCCTGAAACGACGCCCTAACCCAGGCCACTGGAGGATTTGCTGTACAGTGCCCGGATCCCAACTCGGGTCTGTTAAATCAGAAACTTACGAGAGAGACAGAAATCTGTGTACTAACGAGTTCTTCAGGTGACTCTGAGGTTTATTAAAGGGTGAGAACCTCTAATCTGTATGAATAGTAAAGTGACAAAATTATCACACTAAAAAAAAAAAAAGTCAACCTCATTAGCATACCATGTGCCACAATCTAATGAAGAATCTTTTTTCACATTGAGGGCTGATGACCAATATACAGGTCAGGTGCGCTTGCACCCGTTCCACCTGCCGGGAAGGTGGGTGCGAAGCCCCAGATCAGTCCCTGCGCGTCGGTGCAGGTAGGACCAGGTTGCATCCGAAAGCTTAACCATCTGCTAAGTGACCCAGCGGGATTCTGACTTTTCCTTTCACATGAGCGGCCTCCAGTGCCCAGACACGCTTGCTTCTCTCCGGGTTATATCACAGGTCCCCTGTTGGATCACAGCAGCACGGACCCATTACCTATGACCTTGTAAAATTAATATAA